ACGCTCCGTTGATAGTGGCTGGATGCAAAAAGCTTTGGGAGCCAACTCTGAGGCTGCAACCGATGATGTTCTCCCGGCTGATCTGGTCAGTGGGGGGGGACCCCTCCCCCGTTTCAGCATCCAAGCTGCACACCGGCGCCATTCGGAGACCGAAACCAACCCGTTCCAACCCCCAAGCACGAGACCGACGTTTGGTTCGGTCCAGGCACAGTGGAGGGTGATCTTCGATGTGTCCTACTGCACGATCCATGAAAAAAAAGAAACGGACCCTTCATCAGGCCCAGAACGTGCGTGCTAACCTATAGAAGACGAAAAAAACGGAAAGAAGAAGAAGAAGAAGAAGAAGAAGATGCCCATGCTTCCATCTCATGCTCGCTCCCCCCATTCGAAGAAAGCAAAACGAACGAAGGCCGCCTCAGAGTTGACGGTGTAGACCGCTGTGTAGAAGGAATCGTCCTCCTGGAGTGGACTTTGCAGGATCGACCAGAGTTCTTTGCCTGCCCTGGAGAACCTTCTGAGTACGACTCGAGAGATTCAAGACATTTGAGGGTCACTGAAAATCACCAGCAAAGGTTGAAGGACCCTGCAGACTATCCCAGAGGTACCCCCGATTACAGGTCCTTTAAGACCACGATATTTCACCTCTCGTAGAAGAAATTGGGTGGCTCCGATCATCATCTCTCGCCTTCTTCAAAAAGAGAGAGAGAGAGACGGTAGGTACCAGGCGAGCGATCGCCCTGGTGGTTTGGTCGCACATTTCGGTCCTCGAGGTCCTTTAAGGCATGGAAGACATTGTAAATCTTCAGCCTCAGATGCAGGCGGCTCGCCAGTGCAGGTGAGCCCTGTCTCTTGCCGAACTGGCGGAACGGGTCAAAAAAAACTAAAAGAATCCTTCCGCCACCAGTAGGGTAAATAAGAATCACCCTAAGCAACCAGGTCCTCGGCCTTTGGTGGTCCTGTCGACCGACGTCCGCCCGCAAAAAAGGCCGCAAGGGCGGCGATCGAGACGACCGATCTTCACCGGTCCAACGACCTGCGCAAACGACCTGCATGTGGGATCTGCTGCGCGATCTTCCTGGGAAGAAAGATGACAAACATCTTCCAGTGAAGATTGACCCATCTAGACCATAGGGTAAATACAGATCACCTTAAGCAAAACCAGGTTCATGAGTAGGTGCTTTCGTTCATACAGGTGCCACGGAGAAAAAAGATAAAACAGATCCGCGCGTTGACCAACCAGTCAAGAGTGCAAATGGCCCATGGTAAGGTAGGGATCCTGCAAAGTCTGACTTCCAATCAAAAGAGGTGAAAACCGGTGAAAACAGCTTCGTGTCTGTACGGTTATTGAACACCCGCTGGAGTCTTCTGGCGCTTGGCAAGGCACAAATGCCTCTGCTGAATGCTAATGGACTGCAGATAGGCGTTCACCTAGACGAGCACAACGGCAGGCCCCACTCAAAATTCAGGTGGTCTGGAAGTCTCCTAGACCAAGGAAAAGTCACACAGACCAAAAAAAAGAAAAACAGCACCTAGCACAGGTCACTAGCACTTCCAATGCGCGAACCCGCGGTACTGCACCCGCACGGGGTGCCCAACCTCACGAACGCCCGGGTTCAGCGATTGAGGAAGACGGACCGCTTCGGTAGGGGCACGGCAAGCCGCGGCGCCACGGCAGAACGGAAACCCATGGAAGAGAGTGAGTCAGTCCATGTGAGTAACGAGTCTTGAGTCAGTCCATCTTGGAGTTACTTGGCACTTGGAGTCTTGGAGATGTCTGATTTTTGGCCAAATGGAAGTTGCTGGATGAGTCATCGGCCACAGCCCGGAATCCCGTCACCGCCGGTGCCTCGGGGTTGGGCTCGGGCGGCGAGGACTTGGCGAATTGCCCCAGGCAGCGCTTCCCGACCTCCGCTCGGTCGCCCCCTCCGCGGTCGCGTCGAAGGGTCGCCGATCGCGTTGGCGCCGATCGCGTTGCCGCGCCAGGGACTGTGTGCCACAGGTACAAGGGCTTCAAAAACATGGGAATTTCGCTTATCCCTCCAAAACAAACACTTGAAGATGGTGTAAATTGTGGGACTCCTTTTCACCAGTGGCAGTATCAATGGAACCGGACCAAGAGTCTGGTGAGAAAGAGATGACTGGGACAGCTGAATGAGCCTTCATCAACTCAACTAGTCCTCCTTGACGCGAACTCCAAGGCCCAAAAATGGGCCCCTAAACTCTCCAGACCGATGCTGTCCGAACCAAACAGAATTGAACTATATTCATAAAACCCGGGGTCACAAAGCTCGGGGTGTTGTTTGGTCTCATCCAGTGAGTGGATGTGACAGGGGCATCCCGACTTCCTCCAATCGTTCGGCATCCCCTTTGGCAACTACTGGTAGCCCCAACGCCCTCTTAATTGGGGGGCAAAAGAGAGGACGCCAACGAACGAAAAACCGCCCCAGGCGCATTGAGGAGCCGCTGCAAGATCGTGGGCCCCCGATCCTCCTGGTCTGCCGCGTGCCGTCGGGGGGCGCCAAAACCGCCGGCGGCGGCTAGACGCGGTTCGTACCGGCTCAGCGTCTGAAACCGGGATCCAAAGGGGAAGACGTGGAGAGTTGGGTTGAGAGTTTGAATGATTCATTCTGCCAATTTTCCCATGAAACTCTCCCTTTCAGGGAGCCATTCTCAGCGCCAAGCTTGGGGGAGAGTTGACACCCGGTTGGCAGAAAGAACAGACCCATCGCGACACGACACGACGGTCAACGTCCAAACATCCCCAGGTTACACCAGATTCGAAAGCCTCAGCATTCGAGAGCTCCTTCGCTTGTGTTGAGCGGGAGAAGCCACACTGAATGTTTCCCCTGGGAGTCCAAAACTATTCTTCAAACGGTCTTTAGATGACCCAAACTGCAAGGAATGTCCTTGACTTCGGTGCCCCTCAACCGCCCGTCCTCCGCCTGCCCCTGAGCGGGTTGCTGCTGTGCCGGCTGCGGCTCTGCCATGGCTCCATGTGGACAGAACTCCGCACATCAGTGCGTTTTAAAGATGATGCGACCAATCTAGATACCAATCTTCTTCTGCAAGGATGCGCCCAATCTTCGGCCATTTCAAGAACCCATGATTCAGCGATCTGATACTTAAAGCTTGCCCCAAACAATACCATGGACCAGTTGCATAAACCCACGTATCTCAGAGTGAGTTGTGAGACCACCAGCCACGTGGGCCATGATCGGCACTTTGCAGATCGACCGAAGAATCCTGACCTTCCTCCAAGTCTGTGATTGAAGAACAGGAGCAGTGCAGAGTCTTGGCTTCAGGAACCTCCTGTTGGTGCTTCCACTCGGTTCTTTCAGGGACGGGACCCCTCATAGGTAGACCTCATGGGCTTCCCTAGCCTCTGGATGGCCTAGCCTCGTTTACTCCGTGGCTCCCACTTCGCATAGCTCTTCCCCCTCCTTGGTGCATTGGGCCCTTCTCGTCCTTCTCCGAGCCGAAACCCCCCCCCCACGGCGGAAGAATTCGACTCCGGAAGGGCGGAGAGCGACGAGACCACGAACGCGGGTGTTGTTCGGATCGGATTCGTTGGATCGGAATCTTTTTGGTCAGATCGGAATCGTAGACTCGACGGGCGCGCGCGCAGCACCATCCCGACCATCCCGACCAAGGATCCTATATCGTTGACGCTGATCCCTAACTATAACGCTGATTCGGCGAGGTAGAGTATAAACTATTCGAACTGTTGTTGCTAACTGGCTGCGCACCGGCTATAACGACCATCCCGACCGTCCCGACCATCCCAACCATCCCGACCGTCCCGCTAGAATCTGATCCTACGACGCTGATCCGGCCGAATGGAATCTGATCCCAGACGCTGATCCGGCGAAGTCGAATCTGATCCGGAAATTCCCCCACGAAGGGTACGCCGGGAGGGCCATGCCGGGCCATGCCGGGCCAGGCCTCTGTTTTGGGATCCCGGTCCCCGAAAGCTCTCTCTCCCCCCAAGAGTCTTGAAGTTCGGAAGAAAACGGTGTCTTCACCAGTTTTTCTTTGTGATGGCTGATGGCCTTGCCATCGAATGGGATGGAATAACAGCAGCACCAGATGCTTGGACACAGCACCAGCACCACCAGATGCTTGGACACAGCAGGTCAACAAAACCCTCCAGAAACATGGATCTCACTCTTCTCCAACAGCCGACACTCATGGGGCCACACAAAACCTATATTATGACTCAGTATTCCAGAAATGCCTAAATACACGTTCGGGAAGTTCCCATGTTGCCGCACGTCCGACCATACCTCTTGGCAACAACACAGGTGATGTGATCACATGCGCGTTGAAGCTGATGAGGGGAAGCCCTTACCATGGGGCTTGAACTTCTACTTGATCTTTCTTGTTTTGCGGAAAGTTTATTAAACATTCTGAAACAACCTCCAACACACGCCCACTAAAAACTGTTAAAATCACGCGAACGAATGCGATTGCTTTGTTTAAACAAAAACAACGTCCTTGATGCCACTGGAATCTCACGCCGGTGTTTTCGATGACACATCCCGTCACGCTGAAACCCCGCCGATTGACCGTGTGGCCGGACCCCGCGAACACCTGAAGCGAATGGGACTCCAGCGATGACACCCAGTGACTTTGGTTCAATTTCACCTTTGTTGGGCACTCAAAAGGAAATTCCTAAACTCACATCACCGGCCAATAGACCAATAGACCATGCTTAAAACGGTCGACTGGACATGATGTCCAAGCAGCTGTTCACGGTAGTTGAATGACAGCTGTGCCCGGACCCAAACCCCCCAAAAAGACATCGTCCACATGTTCCCCCTAGACATCTGCGCTAATGTCTTTTTTTGGGGGGGAGGGGTGGCTGCATGAAGAACAAACACCAAACACATCCACGAGTCGACCGTCTTTTCCATCCCTTTTTTTCGACGCCCAGTCCGGCTTCTCCCGGTCACGATCCGTCCGGCGTCCGGTCCGGCGGACGCGGCGACGCCGGAATCGGCCTGCAGACACTTCAAGCAAAGCAGGTGATCCCACCGACACCTCCGAAGCTGCGCGCCCGTGGGTTCTGTCGCGCAGGTCGATCACTCACCGTGAACCACACGGGGCGTGGGGCCCGGTGTGGGTGAAACGTGCCCTGAACCGGTCAAAAGGGTGGCCGGTCCCGGTGTTCGCTGTGAGGTTGGTCGATGCCAGGTGAAACGGGAGGTCCCCCCCCAAAACAAAATGGAGGTGACAGGACTCACACCAACGGGATCAAGCCTTGCTCTTGGAGATCTATAGCATCCATGAGACGGGGCGGTTCACGAACCAACCCCACAGTCTTGGCCTGAAGCCCTGGTCCACCATGTAGCTGGGGTGGCATCAATTGGGACTTGATACACCTCCACATCGATGATGGGCTCCGAGCGTCCACTTTTTTGATACCTGCTGCCGAAGGATCGATGCATTGGCTACTGGCACTGCCAAATGGCAGATGTCGCGCACGAACGCGGAAAGCCTCGGTTTCACGTAGAGAGCTCATCTGTTTGGTGTAGGGGTTGTGTGTACAGCGGAGACTCACCAGAAAACGGTGAAGGACCAGCCTGGGAAGCGGTCGGATGGAGACTCGCCAACGAGTCGACCGCCGGAATAGGTCAACCAAGGTATGAGTCCGGGGGATGTACCTTGGTGGACCATGTTGACCTACCTACTGTTTCGTGGGGTTTTCAGTCGCCTCATGGACGTTCAGTCCTTCTTCAGTTTAGTGGCCACCGGAACCTCGGCGGTGACAGCGCCTCTGCCGATCCTGGAACGATTCCATGGTCACGTGCCACCACAGGAGCACCGCACGCTGCGCCTGACAGGAGCGGTGCTGGGAATCGTCTGCATACGGTGTCCTTCTTGGTCAAAGTGACTGGCATAGAGGGGCGAAAGCAGCAGCTTCTGCGCCTGTTCACAAGGACCAGCCCATACCTGGACCCTCCAAATCCGCTGTGGAACCAACCCCAAAGGCCCAGTTCATGCCCCCGACCCAACATCTATCCAGCCATCCAACCCCCGACAATTCAGAGATGAATTCGGGGTGGCACCCCCAATCCCTCCCAAAAGAGGTCTGCAAGGTGATCCGAACTCCTATCCATCGGTGGCTTTTCTTTCTTGGATCACTTCTCGCTCCAGCCAAACGCCACGGCTCAGGTCTAGCCAACGGATCAAAAGGTGGTGCCCCGGTCACTTGCCCTTCAGATCTTCACACCACCAGGTCCATGAGATGTCGGAGTGAAGCATGGGATGGATCGGGGTGTCTCCCACTCCCCCTTCTTCGGGGGGTCACCCCGGTCAGTCACTCCGGAACGGCACGAAGGCACGAGCTTCGAGGAAAACCGGTCTCCTTCTCGGACCATCCACTCTTCTCCCACTCTGAAAGAGTGGAACAAGTGGATGGCGCTTCCGCTCTGAAAACCGTCGACAGTCGACCCTCCCACAGCAACACCGGCCGACGGTGCGTCGAGAGACGTACGTCTCGACTGGGAGGGGGAGAGGACCTGCACAGATCCGGTCCGGAAGGTTGCGGAAATGAAGGGAAGGGTCGAGCCTCTGAAAACCAATCACCCAATCAAAACTTGAAGGTCGACCGTGCACACACCCCTTCACTGAGAGGAGTACCGAAAAAATACATGCTATAGGCATTCTTTGACACATTTCGAACACCATCCCACACACTGCCCGCCGGCCAGCAAATGGGATCTCCGTGCCACATGACATATGAGCACCTGGCCAGCGGTCTCGCGCAGTCTCGCGAAGTCTGGCGGTCCAACTAAAAACGCGAAAAAGCTGCGCACCACCGGCGAAGCAGGTCGGCCAAAGAAAGTGCGGGATGTGATGACACCTTCTCTTGACCGACCACACCTATCCACGTCTAGTACTGGTGAAGACCACACCGGTGATCACTGGCCTGGGGTTGCTTGGCTTTGTTACGGGCGGTCAACACCTTGTCACAAGTGGTCCCACTCTCTCGCTTGTGGGTGTCAAAATTGGGTCAAGGCCAAGGCCAAATGCCCTAAAACCCCGACTAAACCCCCAAAAGCTATAGTAGGTTGAATCCCCTGGTACATCCATGCGTGTTCATTCGCGCCGTCAACCCCGGGCCCTTGTGTTTGACAGCTGCCACGGCCAACGTTCCAGACCTTCGGCTGAGACCGAACCCCAATCCCCCCCCACGAAGCGAGTCCTCCGCAGGTCGTTGCGCGCCGCGTCGTGGCGCGCCTGCTGAGCCCCTTGTCGTTGCGCGACCCGCCACATCTCCACACAGCGTTGCCCGCGCCCCATCTCCTGCGAAAGGCGAAGGCGCCTGTTGGGTGACGTCGCCAAGTGGTTATGAGGGAAGATGGCCACCTGGAGTACTTCGAGTGCTTTGTTGCCAAGTGCCGCCTGGTTTCAAAACTAACAATGCCACCCTGCAAGCCCATCACGTTGAAAGTGACCGACCCATGATTCCTTTCGATAGACATCACCCACATCGGTTCAACACCAAGATTGCTACTCGAACTGCATTCGAGAGGGAGAACATATGAGAAAATTCGATTCAAAGTCAGAGATCCCAAACCAGCACCCTCCTGGCCAGGCTGTTTGGAGACCCTAACAGGTGGTTTCTGGGCACCTGTCACCAGGTGGCGCACCTGTAGAGTCGGGTGCTGGAAGCGATCCTCACCCGACCGTCGCGACCCGGGCGGACGTCCCGGCCACCAACCACGGCGCGACCGCGACCCGCGGGTCCCAAAGGTTGCGCCAAGCCTGGGGTGGATGAGGCGAAAGCGAATCCGGAGATGGGGACCCTGAACACCCAGGGACTGCTTCGCTGGAATTGTGGGGGGCCTGGACACCCAGGTGCAGAGTTTTGGAACGCCGTGCCGCGGAATTCGCGCAGCAAGCTGACTCACAGGATCTGCCATGGTCGCAGAACCCGGTATTTGAATGTCTTTGAAAAATGCTTGAACTTGCGTGGGCATGGGCTGTATCAGGTGACATGTTGAATTGTCACATGAATGTTGACATGTGAATTAACATTAAAAAGAGAAGATCTTGCAGGGGGTCAAGTCACTTCAATCAGTTGCGTGGCGGTGCAGCTGGGCCTACATGACCAGAAAAACCACTGCATTGTTTCGAGGACATCAGGGCTCTTCCATCAAAGACATCGCTGGCAAGGCTGTGCCCCCACCAAGCGTGCAGCAGCAGCAGCACTTCAACTCGCTCCAAAGGATCTCCTGCACCCTCTGGGCCCTCTCGCCAGGAAGCAAAGCCCACCATGATTCTGCTGATCTGGCCGTTCGACCACCAAGTGCAGCGGCCCAAAGACAGGGGGTCTGGTGCAAGAAATGGGGCGGCAGGGGAGGCCCCAAGATAAGAGTCCCTGTAATTGGTCCAGAAATGGCCGAAATTCAAAGGTCTAAGCAGTCCAAGCCAACCCGCTATAAGTGAGATAGCTCGCCGCGTCTGAGGTCACGGTGTCAGTTCTCAGTCTCCCTCGGCGAAGAAAGGCTTCCATCCGAGTGACAAGGGCTGTGATTGAATGACTCCCAGCAGCTGGGAGCAAACCAAGATGATCTGATGGTTAGAGTCCCTGTTCAATCAACAATGACGTTGATGGCAACCGCAAGGAACGACAAATTAGATTATTCTCTGTGGCTTTGGTTGAAGCTTAGCCAAATTTCACCATCTGCACGTGTTCAATTCCTGAGCGCCAATGTAGACTATTGATGGAAAAAACAAGATTGGGATTGCAAAACCCCTTCAGGCTTGAACTTTTGATTCTTCCAAGAGTCTACACCACCAAATGCCGTCACCGTTCCTGTCTCCCAGGTCCGACACCGAAAACGACGCCTCTCGTGTGCCACCTGGCCCACGGTGGCAGATCTCCGAAGCGACAACAGCTCCAATCCTCCCTGGAAAGGGGGATTCACTAGATGATGTGGGACAATGACTGACTGGTGCTTAGTAGGGAATATGGGAATGGATCCAGAGGGGCCCACAAAATACCCTAGCCTTCAAAGATCAGTTCCAAAATCATTCACCAGGCTAATGTAAGAACCGTAAAGCCCATGAACCGTCCAAGTATCAAATCCTTAAAGACCTATGGTGGGCCAAGAATGTCTCACAGCAACCCCCTTGGAAACCATGGTCCACACCAGGCATCGCGCCCTCGGGTCGGCGTCGTTGGAAGGTCGCTCGCCTTTGGAGGGGTGATGCCGTCGTGACCTACCAAGAATCCGTCACAAGTTCCGCCAGAGTCGTCGAGCCAGGCGGGCTGGTCGGACGGTCGCTTTCGCGGCCTAGCGTCCTGGTGGTGCTTCCCGTCTTCCCCGTCGTTTCCCATGGTTTCCCGGTGAAAACTGTCAGGAAGAAGCGCATTCAACCCCGACCTATGTTTCTGGTAGAACAAGAAGCGATGGCAGTGACTAAAGGGATAGGCCGTGAAGACAAGAAAAAGTGAGAATGCTCTTTAAACATCTTTACACTAGACCTTCTGTGTGCTATGCTATTTGTCAAATACATTCCAATCTTGAACAACTCTATCAGGAAGAGTGCAGCACAAAGACCCCGAAAAGCAATAAAACATCAGAGAAATTAGAGGCACCCCTACCCTGGCTGTCAGACCAATTCATCACAATCGTCATCTCATGTTCATCATGGCATCAGGAGTACCAAACAGAAAGAAGGCACTGCTTTCATCACGCGCATTCAAGAGCAGCACTTCTTTCCCCCGCGCGAAGAGCTGTCCAGAAACCGCCATATCCGCTGCTGGTCTCCTCTCAGCACGAAGACAACATAATCCATGCGGTCCAAATCGGCACGTCGAGAGCATCCGGATAGTGTGGGAGAACATCAACCATGATTCTTCATTGGACATATCTGGTCAATTGATGTCTGTCAACAACACAAGAAATCACTTGGGCTTGCTTTCTGAGTGATCTGATAAACTCCGACAGCCACCCAGTTCCGTGTTTCACCTTCTTTGCATGGCTTTAGGGCAAAGAGGTTTGTGAAGTTCAGTCTTTGAGAAGTTCGTCCTCAGTAGGCCCTCGTTGAATTCCAAATCCCTGCGACCAACTCGGGAAAGAGAATGTAAAACATCCACACTTGTTGGTGCAAACAGTCGGTGAATCTTATAGTAGTGAGGTTGTTTCCAAGAGTCCAGCTTGTTTGACCGGTGCCATGTTGTTTGTTTCTGGTTCGTCTTTGGGGTAAAGAAGAAGATTGTGCAATTACAGGTTGCGGGGCAGACCTCTCCTTGCGGGTTTTCAGATGGACGAAAACCAAGTGTTCAATTGAACAAAAAAGAGCAACAGGTGGTGCATCGTGCTGATTCACCAACTCGTCTTCTTGGGAAAAATATATCTCACACCGTCCTGCCTCTCGACGCGGGATGCCAATGAACCGAAGCCCCGGAAACAATCGGGACATGTAAATCAAGAGATCTGCAAGCTGTGACCATCGCATATCGCAAGGAAAAGACTGAATGGAAATGAGAACTATATATGAAACAATAGCACGGCGATGCCATGCAATTCCACGAGACTACATACTCACCACAAGAAACTCTTCGCTGTCCAAAACACATGTTCAGCCTGCGATGGCTGTAACAGAAGATGGTCCATCGCTCGGACCACATCCAAAACGAAATCCGGCTTTTGCACGTGCAGCAGGGCGAGCGCGCCCTGCTGAAACGCGTGCAGAAAGGGGGCTTGCTAGGCCTGGAAACTTGGCATTCATAGAGGCCCACCAGCGCGTTCAGAGGTAAAACTAAATGGTGTTGATTGTATCTGTATATAGATTAAAGAAAAAAAGTTAGAGAGAGTTAAAGAGGTGGGAGGGAGGCTGGAATTGAAAGAATGTCTTTTTGTTGGCAGACGAAACCGAGGCCACACCGGAGGCACGGTCCCGAGTGGTCTGCCAAACTGAATTGGTTTGACCGACGAAAGTTGGAAGATCCAAGTGTATGGGGGTGTATCCCATGACCCGGTTTCAGTGAATGATGGGACCTGCAACCACAGACCACTCTCAATGCGGCCTGGAAGCGGATGATTATGGCATGTCCCCGAACGCAGATCCCCTCCGCCACAAGTCTGGATGCATCCGGATGCTACGGACCGCCGGACCTCCTGGCCTTATGTGGGGTTCACCTCGCCAGTGGCAGAACAAGAAAAAAGGAACAGTTGCCAGGGCCCAGTGGATGATTATGGTTGGGTTGCAGGCCAACATCCATCTCAAACATTGTTTTGCTTTTGTTCTCTTTTGCCGACTCTGTTACCGTTCTACTGGGACACCCCCCTAGATGTACATATACTTCCCAGGCAAGTCTTACCCCATCTCATCCAGGTTTCAGAATTTGTTCGTTGTAGCGGGGGACGAAGCACTACATGAAGACGAAACACTACAAGGTTGGCAATGGAAGTCTTGTCATTATGTTAACCTCTGTTTTTCGGATGCCGGAGTCGAGGGCATGGTCACTTACAAAGCCATGGCACGAAAGGGTAACGAGGAGGTGGCGCGAAGTCAATGAGCTTGCGAAGTAAATATGCCCGGATCTTGCAACGATGCAACAGATCCGCATGTTTCATCCAAAAAACACACAAAACCATGGAAAAACCCGGCAGAGTTGTGTATGTGCATCATTGGAAGATCCAGGTTCTGCCAGGTCGTCTCGGTCGAACACCGGCAAAAACCACGTCGAGACTAGTAGACTACCCGGCCGTGTACCTTGGGTGCTTTCCCGACCCGCTCAGACAGGTGTACGAAGATCAGTGTGAAGGATCAGAAGTTGGGACGTCAAAGCTGCCAACATGGAGTTCTCGTCGAAGGAACGAGAGCTGAACGCGAACGGGTGATGGGCATCCTTTGAAACAGCCCCCGCTGGGGCGCAACGGCGGAGCTCCTCACACAAAGCTGCGCCCGAAAATAGTTCTGGAAAATATCTACCTCAGCCGGCCAAATGAGCGCAAAAAGCATCGACTTGGCCAAGTGACAGGGTGGCTGGTTGGTCTACAACATCACACGTGCCGGATCTGAGAAACCCGGAATTTCCTTTAGGTTCTACAGCTTTGCTGGTTCTTTGTAGCTTTGCTAGAAGCCACAGCACTCCCCAACATCAGATCCGCCATCCGACTTGAGAAAATGCGTCATCTTCAGCTCCAAGGAACTTCCAAAAGCCCACACCCCCAGTCAATTCCACCTCCCCCCCACCTCCCCACACCTCCCCCACACCCACACCGTTGCGTTCCCAGTGGCCGGTCCTCCAAGGGCCTCACCGCGGGCTTCACCCCCCAAATCACTTCGGCATACTCCTGCGGAGGCGCCGAGATACGTCGCATGAACCACCCACCGAGGCGTGATCGGCCGTCTGGCCGAAAACCACACCCCACACCGCGCCGATGGGCCGAGACGTGATCGGCCGTTCCACCACGGTGCCCCCCCGAAGTCACAAAGGGCAGCGCCCCAAAACGGCCCCACCTTCCACGGTCTTTCTGGGGGCCGGTCCGTGGACTGGTGCCAAGACCAGGACCACAACGGCTCCGTCAGCGGTGCCGGCATCCTTGATGGTGCGATCGGTGGAGAACTTGGCCATGCTCGAGGCCGCCTGGCCAAGACTGGACGCAGAGAGCAACGCCGTCGCCACGAGCGGCGGCGACGTAGCCGTCGGCCGCCTCGATCCATCCCGATCGGACGTCTGACCCAACGGTCTGACCAGGTCCTGAAATTCTAAGTACCAGCACCAGCCTGAGACCGAGGTGGTTTGGTTCGACGCCCCATGAGACCGAGGTCTTGTCCATCCAAGGTCACCACGCGTGTGTCTCCTGGGTGGTGCGGGTCGTCTTTTTGTATCAACTCCAGTACATCATGAGGTCAGTTCCAGACCTGCAGGGGAGTTCCATTCCTTCCGCAGTAGGAAAGGCTCCGATGATGGTCGAGAGGTCGGAACAGGACTCAAAAAGGGAAAGTGAGGGACTCTCTGGAATTGGGGCCTCTTAGATGTTCAATTCCATGAGGTGGAGCCCACCCCCACTCACGTCAAGTGCTGCGATCTTGCGAAGTGATGAACTGTTTCAAAACGAAAGATCTCCCCATCCAAGGACTGCCAGCAACTCTCCAAACATCAAACATCCAGCCAGGTATATCCCATTGCCATGGCCCAGTGGATGATGGTTAGGTTAGGTTAGCCAGATCTTTCCATCTCCACGTGGCTTGTACAGGTGTACCCTTCAAAGAGCACCAAAATGGCTCACGAAATAGCCCCAAAATGGCTGTTGAATCCCATGCTGGGCCACGGCTCCTATCGGAAAAAAAACAAAAACAACCTTCCCCCCTTGTCCTACCCTTGGGCGCCAAGAGTCCACAGCAGGTCCCCCAGGGTGTTCCGCTCGCATGACCACGCCTGGATGCTCAGCTTACACCACTTGGCCTTGTCCGCGTAAGTGGCATCCACCCGCGCCTGCCGAGCTCGGAGCAGCGGGAAGGACGGGCGACCGGACAGGCGGAGCCAACAGCGGGAGGAAGCGACAGCGGCGCGACGCCGGGCCGCTCGGAGGGTTGGAAAAAGGGGCGGGGTGTTCGAGGAATGGGGGAGGTGGAGCCATGGTGGTGCGAAATTGTGTTCGGAAAGTAGATGGAGGTTGGACATAGTTGGACTGTATCCATCGCAGGGGTGTGTTGGTCTTTTCGTTGGAGCTGATCACTGTCTGGGCCTTGTGGATTCTACACATGCACTTGAAGCAGCAGAGGACTCATTGACCCCAATTACAAAAAGAATGATATGGCTCTACATCCCAAAAAAGCTCCCCATACCTTGTGAGAAGGTACTCAGACCCTCCAACACTGTACCTTGCCTGGTCAGATGGTA